AGATTCTTTCCTCTTTTGAAGTAATGTATGGGGAATAGGTGAGCCTGGGATATATTCAGATTGTTTAGAATAGCATCAGAGCTGTTATTTCTGAAATGGAACTGACTGTAAAGGAAATCAGTCCAATAGCACTTTAAAATATGAACATGATTTTGAGATGTTTCCAAAGAGCATTTTTATTAACTCAGTTTAGCACTGCCTCATCTCAGGCTGAGTTCATACAACATGCTGATTCAAAGCCAAAAATCATGGTGTATCAACATGATATGGGAAGCCATTCATTGTGGTTTCTAAATAGAATCAAGATCACACAAAGTATTAGTACCGCTTTATAAAACCCTAGTAAGACCACATCTGGAATACTGCAGCCAATTTTGGTCACCATATCACAAAAAAGATGTTGAGAGTTTGGAAAAAATTCAGAGAAGAGCAACTAAGATGGTCAAAGGCCTGGAGACTAAAACATACGAAGAACGGCTGCAGGACTTGGGTTTGGCTAGTCCAGGGGTAGGCAACCTTGGCTCTTTTATGACTCATGGACTTCAACTCCCAGAAATCCTGAGCCAGGAAAGAAGAAATAGGGGAGACATGATAGCAGTATTCCAGTATTTGAGGGGCTGCCACAAAGAAGAGAGGGCCACGTTATTCACCAAAGCACCAGAGGGAAGGATGAGAAACAATGGTTGGAAACTGATCAAAGAGAGAAGCAACCTGGAATTAAGGATAAACTTTCTGACAGTGAGGACAATGAACCGGTGGAACAGCTTGCCTCCAGAAATCATGGGCGCTCCATCACTTGAGGTTTTTAAGAAGAGACTAGACCAGGGGTCTTCAAACTCGCCCCTTTTATGACTCATGGATTCAACTCCCAGAATTCCTCAGCCAGCGTACCTAGACAGTCACTTGTCTGAGATGGTATAGGTTCTCCTGCTTGAGCCAGGGGGCTGGACTAGAAGACCTCCAAGATCCCTTCCAGCTCTATTCTATTCTATTCTATTCTATTCTATTCTATTCTATTCTATTCTATTCTATTCTATTCTATTCTATTCTATTCTATTCTATTCTAAATTGAGTTTGAATAAATAGGGTAAAGTGTGATTATACTAAACCATGATTAAGGAACATTTATTTTAGCCCATACATAATTTCAGTCATTCAAATATCCAGAAAGGGATTTTTCCTTCTCTTCATTAGAAATCTAATATAACATTTAATGAATTTCTCTCACATTTTTCTCCATTCTTTTTTTTATCCTAATTGCTGACATTTACACTTAATAAAAATAGAACTTTTTAAAAGCATGGGTAGTGTCCTAATCCTCGTTCTTCTGCATTAATCATAATGTACAATGATTTTTTTGGACAAATAAATACTGTCAAGCCCCCAAGCTCTCAGCTTCAAATTTCAGTTAACAACTTGGTCAAAGTCAAACTTGTCAGTCTAAATCTCTGACCCATCCATTTTCAGAGTGATTCATTTCATTTTTGGACACAAGTGACCTTTTTTCTTTTTCAGTCAGAAAATGAATGCTGATGTGCTTGTCAAAAGGCATTAGCGCATTAGAATGAAGCATAAGTAAAAGGAATGGGAAAAAACTGAATACAAGTCTTGCTCGCCCAAATGAAGCGTGTTTGCTCAATTATTCCAGTTTCTGAGCTGGCATAATACATGGAATCATTAATGAACCAATTTCTGTGTTTGCACAACGTGCTAGACTAAAATAGTCTTCATGCAAAAACAGCCATAAGAAAAATATTATCCACTTCTCAATAGCGAATAATCTCCAAGGATTGCTAGCACCTCAGAATTTCCTGTCCCAATTCATAGAGACAACCTGGCAAACAAGCACATAGAACTGAACTGGCTTCGGAGGAAAGAAAATCTATTTGCAGTGTTTTCCCCAAAATAAGACCCGGTCTTATATTTTTTTTGCCTCCAAAAGAGGTATTAGGTCTTATTTTCAGGGGATGTCTTTTCCACCATCTTGCCTCGCTGCGGCACCAACAACCCCATCCAGCAGGAGCCTACATGGCTGCCAGCCCACTTCTTCTGTGGCCGCTCGCTCATGGCCCCGAGCCTCTGTTTCACCAGCAGAGGCCTTTAACTCGGGGCTCAAAATGGAGGCCGGGGGTGATGCACACAAGTGGCAGCAAACGGCCACAGAAGAAGTGGGCCGATGGTGGACTGCTGGACTAGACTGTTGGTGCTGCAGCCATGAGGCGAGGCAGGTGTGGGGGCCTGGGAGGCGTGGGAGGCTGGCTGCAGCAGTCCTGAGGTAAGCGGGTGCGGGGCACGTAGGGCAGCTCCACCCCCACCCTAGCTTGATTTTTATGCATGCGCCTCGCCCCACCTCATGCAACCAGATGGTGGGATGGAGTGGGCGGGGTCTTAACGAGGGCTTATTTGGCAGTAGGGCTTATATTAGGCGCATACGTAAAAATCAAGCTAGGGCTTATTTTCAGGGTAGGTTTTATTTTCGGTGAAACACGGTAGTACAATTTTAGTAACAAGTTACAGTTTTAAAAGATAGCCATATGTTATCATCCTTTTGTGGGCTAGGAATTTTGACATGTCATAGACAGAAGAGCCCACTCAAATACTCATTTATCAGGAATCTTCTCTCACCAAAACAGAGGAAGTTCTGTTTTGCAACATGCTAGTTCTCTGTTCATTTTAATTAAAGAAGAAATGAAAATCAAGTGGCTATGGAGAGAGCCAACCTAGTGTAGTGGTTAAGGCACCAAGCTAGTAACTGGGAGATTGTGAGTTCTAGTCCCGCTTTAGGCACAAAGCCAGCTTGAGCCAGTCACTCCTGCTCAGCCCAAGGAAGTAGGCAAGAGCAAACCACTTCCAAAACACCTTCCAAGAAAACTGCAAGGACTAGGCCAGGCAGTTGCCAGGAGTCCACACTGACTCAACAGCACAATAGTGAAAATAAATAAAGATTGCCAGATGCCAAAAGAAGAGTTATTGTCATATTGATGTGCAGGAATGCTACTATACAGACTTCAGGTTTAACAATAGCACATTAAAAAGGAATCTTTTCTAATATGGAGTTATTTTACTATTGCTGACATCTCAGCCAATGAACATTCATCTTGATTTTTACAAACTGATACAACTCATACTGGTAATGTAATACTAATTTACTCAAGTTATTTTGGTTCATACAACACAATGAACTACAGGCTAATTGCATAACATGCTAGATTAAAATGTGGTTGTGCTTGGAATATCATCAAACACTTCTATTTATGCAGAAATCTGAAAGATTTCAATGGAACTTTTAATCTGATAGTTTACTTACAGCATTGCATTCCAATAAACTGTGGTTAGTTTAACCATGTTTTGCTAAGTAAAACATATGTTTGGTTTCATACATACTAAATCACAAGCCACTGATTACAAGCCATAATGGCTGGTTTCACAGAGCATGCTGTGCCAAATCACATTATTGTTTAACGCAATGTTTGAAAGCAGTCAGCAGCTCAGCAAAGTTACATCTCAGATCTAGACAGAATCGTAGCTTTCAAGGCCTATTTTTATTCATTTCAAACCAAAATCCAGCAGATGACATTCAGTAACATCACAGATTTGAAACTGGCCCTATGTAGTAGAAACATCCACAAGGGAAGTATTGTAGCTCTTGCTGGTGTATCAAACTGACGGTCCATGGGCCGATTGCATCATGCGGAGGCCACGACCACCCCAGCTCCGGCAATGTGAAAAAAGTCACGATACAATACATCACGTGATGCGGCGAATTTGACACCCCTGCTCTAGAGCCTTTAAAAAAATGCCCCATTAATTGAAAGCCTGAATGCCCCATTAATTGCCCCAAAAATGCCCCATTAATTGAAAGCCTGAATAAGACCACTACACACAGTACGTGCTAGGGCTTTACTATTGACATAGTTAACTGCTTAGCATTTCGGCTTCTAATGAAAAGATAATTTTAAAACCACTGACAAGTTTCTACCAGCTATAACTGATTTAAGATAAAAGAGCTGGTGTGTAATAGCTGTGAAGATGAAACACTATTTCCTTCTCAGTATTGAAGAGCAGCCTGGCTATAAAAGTTTAATATATAAGGAAAACCCATGTAATGAAAGTTTCGTATCAGCTGCAGCAACATTCCCCTTTAGCAGGCCAATCCAGTAGAAGATAAATATAAAACGAGATAAAAGTACAGCTAAAGCAACGGAAGGAAAATATGCACAACTGAAACACAAGCAAAAATCCATACTAGCATTACCCTAAACCCAATTCAAAAGGCCATGTTGAAAAAGAGCATCTTTTGTCTCTTTGTCGAAACATTGAAGAGAGCACGAACAATATTATTAAGAGGCTCATTAAGGTTAACCACTAGCCAGACCTTCCCAGCACTGACTGCTACATGCACACCACCCTGATTTTCTTCCTCGACCATCCGTTCTGTAGCGCATTCTCTAATTCAGGGGTAGTCAACCTTGGCTCTTTTATGACTCGTGGACTTCAACTCCCAGAATTCCTGAGCCAGCTTGGCTGGCTCAGGAATTCTGGGAGTTGAAGTCCACGAGTCATAAAAGAGCCAAGGTTGCCTACCCCTGCTCTAATTCAACCAATTATCTTTCTTCTACCTCCAATTGGACAAGAGAGGGTCACGTGCTTGCGACGCACGCTTTCCACCCCCTCCACCTTCCCCATCGTCGGACGCGCCTGGGTACCAGGAGGTGGCTTGTAAAGAAGCGCTCGGGAGCCAGCCGGGAGGTGGGCGTGAGCCCAGAGAAGGGGCGGAGCGAATGCAAAACAAACAAAAGACGCTGCGTTTGCTTGGACCCGCGACATCATTGAGCGCGCCACGTCGGTAATTTAAAAAAAGGAAGCAGCTGCGCGCGCAAGTCGAGAACCTGGGGGGGAATGATAAGCGCGCGCGCGCACACGGACGGGCTTTCTTTCATCGGGGCGGTAACGAGCGCGTGCACAGGCGCGCGCGCGCGCGGCGGTGGCGCTGGCTGCTTGCTGTTGCTGCTGCTGCTGCTGCTGCTAAATATCCGCCTCCCTAAAAGCGAAGGTAGCGGCGCTAAGGGCAGGGAAACCTCGTTTTTCCCTCGGGAAGCCTTAAGTCCACAAATACCCGGATCCCCCAACGGAAGGTAAATGCAACCCCTTTCTCTTTCTTTCTTTCGGGGAAACCGAGAGCGAGGAAACGGGCAGGAAGAAGGGCTCTCCTACTAGTTCAGCCTTTGTTTTTTTTTTAAGGCGAGCAGGCTGCAGCGGCCGCGGCAGCCCGCGCCGTTCGTGCCGCGGTGGAGAAGGGAAGGGAAAGGGGAAGCGAGTGCGGCGGGACTGCTTTGGGGTTGGGCGTTTGCTTTCCATTTTGTGGCATTGCAGTTGGGAACGAACGCGGGGCTGGGGGGGGGAAAGAAAATAAATTCGACCCCCCCCCTCCGGTGGTGGACCTGGAAGAAGCCCGCAGGCAACGCAAGTACTTTGTTGGTGGAACTAATCCCTTCAAGGGGGACGTGGGGTATCGTTTCCCTTTCCCTCCCGATCCATTCTCACCCCGTAATGGCGGCGGAACTTTACGTGGTTCTTTTCTGGATACAGATGGCTTTTCGCGTTGGGTTCCTTTGGGTGGAAAGAGAAGACACACACCCTTTTGTGTGTCTTTCGTGGCAAGCCGCTCGTTCGGGGGGGGGCTCCGAATGTGTGTGCCCGGAGGGGCAACGCCACTGGCGATCCCTTTGCTGAAAGAGATTTCTCTCGTAAAGGCTGGCAGACGGGGGTGTTTTATTGATCGGAGGTAAGAAATAGTGGGAGTAGTGCATTACGCAAAATACGACTTTGCATTACGCAAAATACGACTTGCCGCGCGAGGAGAAATGTCTCTTTTAAGTATCGCTTTGGAGGAGCAAACCGATCTGCAAAAAAAGCTTGACTTGGTTATAGAGAACTAGTTCAGCATAAAAGCGGGGGTTGGGTTTTTAGCAGACCTCCCACGCCAAATCTCGTTTCCACTTTTAGTGTATTAGGACGTTGTAACAAATTAGCATCAGTTTTCTTCTTTTAAGTGTGGACGGTGATACCATGTCACTATTTTCTGCCATTAACCCAAGGGAGATAGTATTAACTCCTGCAAAGAATCTGAGGTGATGGGTAAATTCTTTATGAAGTGTCAACAGATCATGTATTTGTTGCTCTCCCTATTCCTTTCTGAATTTCATTGGAAAAAGGCTCGCCTTTCTGAACTGGCTTGCTGTATTTTCCGTATTAAGCTGGGTTGATTTAAAGGCCTTGTTAGAATAGAACATGTTTGTGCATTATATTTATGGCAGGAATTGTTCAATTTTTTTTATTAATATAGCTGCCCACGTTCAAATAGCTCTAATCTGCCAAAAAATATTTCTGACTTGTTAATTTTATATTGTCCAATTCTTGGAGATCAAATTTGGATAAATACAGTGTTTGAGTTGGAACTCCTTGGTTGTGTTACTCTTATTTAAACAAAAAGTAAATCTCTATTAATCTCAGTATAGATACCTAGGGAAAGCCACTATTTGCATTCTTTCCTTTTTGTTCTCTAATAGATAACTAATCTATATAATGCCCTCGCTTATTTTATGACTACTAATTATACACTAAAGAATGTTGTCAAGGGATGTTGGACTTTTTTTGGAAGTCCAATAAAATATTGTATAAGATTATACCTCCACTTGTGAATTTTTTTAAAAAAACATCAAAGGCTAACAAGACAAGGTTTTTCTTTGCAGAAATCATGTTAATTTCTGCTCAGTAAACCTTGTTCCACTAATTTTGGTAGAAAAAATTAAGATAACCAACCTTTAATTTCCTAAATCCTTCTAGGTTCTACATCAGTGTTAAATATGCCACTTTTTGGTAGAGATTTTGGGCATATATATTTTATTAGGTTTTTTTTCCTAATTAGAGAATTCTCAGGTCAGTGCCATCTAGGTCAAGTATTTATTTTGTTTTCCACTCAGTTTCTTACTATTATTCAGGCTTCCTTGAAGGTAGCATTTCAAGCATGGATATCTGCCATTTATCCTCAGCAGTGAAGACAGATACAAATCATTCCTGCATTTTCTCTGCAGTCTCCTTATCCTTCTTTAATAATATTTGAACTCCCTGGTTTTCCAGAGGTTCAGCGGTCTTTCTGGCCAGTTTCCTAATTCTGACATGCAGTATTTAAAGAGCTATTAATATATGCCTCAGTATTTTTTAGCTCTTTTACTTTTTCCTTATGTTCTTTTGTGCCATGAAGTAACATTTTCTTTCATTCATTTTGTGCAACTTCTAGTTGGAATACCCCTTTCATACGCCTCATTATAGATACTGCAAAACACAGACCTCGTCATTATGGCTTGTTTTTTGTATGTGCTGAGACATGTTAGCTATTGTTACACAGATGCTTCAGTAAGTTGAGAACACAAAAATGCTAGAAAAGCAAAAGATGGGGAAGGCTAGATCAGGGAGTCTCTTGCCATTTAGAAAGAAAGAAGGGATCTACTAGATGAGGTTCTAATGTTTCACTGAAAAAAATATGGAAATAGGCAGTTAATCTGAGGTTTGGTATTTTGACTACAATCTTATTTTGTCAAATTTTGTCTGTTTAGGAAATCAGGGTATAATAGATTTGATTGAGCATATAGGAGATATGGTAATAACTGATATCTTGGTATATATAATTTTTTTGCAGTTATATATAACCATAGAATATTTAATGCTACTGTGGTTTTTCTTTCAGAAGTTACTGTTTTGGAACTTCAGAGAATGACAGCATTTATATACTTTTCATGTACTAGAGATTTGTAGTTGAGTTTATTTTGGGTGATTGTTGCTCAACCAGTGAATGACAGACACTGCAACCATCATAAATAAAAGACAGGGTTTTTGATCATGTGACTATGGGGATGCTGCAACAGTCATAAGTCACTTTTTTAGTGACTTATGCTGTTGTAAACTTTGGTCACTAAATGAACTGTCTTAAGTTGAGGACTATTTGTCTGGAGGTAACATTTTCATTTGTTTTGAAAGAAAATACCATCCCTATCACCACTATTTTATTCTAGTTCATTCCAAGTGGGTTTATAACCCATTAATATTGATCTGGTTCAGTGATAATGCTAAACCAAAATGTTGTTGGTTGTGGAATGGGGTAATATATAAATGCATCTGTAGAAAAAAAAACTATTTTTTTTCAGATCACTAAGAATGGGTTTGTATAGCGTGCACAAACACAAATCACAGTAATCTGGCAATTTTCTGCTTCTGGAATAATTCTCCAGATTTCCAAGTATTTAATAGCATTGTGGAAAACTATATTTTTACTTACAATCATTTTGGGTATAGCTACAGTTCAGTTTATAAGATGTGACATTAGTAACTCATATTGTGCCTCAGAATTATTGCACTTATAGGATAGATTCATTTAAATGTAATATCCTGTTTAAAATTCATATTTCCTAAGGAATCATGCATATTAGAAAAATTATTAGAAAATGTTGTCATTATAAAATAGGCTTGTTATAAAAGAATCCATATACAGTCAACACTTTAAATTAGAACTATTAGCTGCAATTATTTTATATTGAAAATGATCCTCTTAGAAATAAGAAACAGACTGTTATATTCTCACATTCTAACCCCCCCCAGCTGGGATATATTTCAGGCTTTTCTTGAGGTTCTCCTCAAGTGTTTTGAGCTTTTATCTTGCTTAAAGGCAGGAAAGCAGCAAATCTCATTGCTATTACTTGAATCCAGGATGATGAGATACTTTATTCAACATTTAGGTTCATCATGTGCAAAGTGCCAAGGTAGCCTCTCTCAACATGGTAACTTTCAGATGTTTTAGGACTATGATTCAATTCAGTTTGGGAATTTGGGTAGTTATTTTCCGAATGCATCTTGAGAATATCTGATTGAGGAAGTCAGATTCTTGTTGCTTTCAAGGGGCTTCTTAAAGGAGTTAAGTAGGTGTACCTTAGATTACAATATTTGTTGCTTGATGCCCTCAGTTTTATTTTTACTTGAATCAACAATCCTTTTATATATTGCATACTACATTGTTAACACCATTTAGAAATAGACAAAACACTTCAAGTTGAAAATGTCTTGAAACCCCCCTTCCCTCCCAAAAATCCACAATCCAAATGAATGGAATTTTTCTGATATATCTTACTGGAAATAGCACAGCTCAAAATAGGGCACTCTGACTTCTACTTTTCAGTCAGGGCAACACATTCTAAGTTCAAACTACTTCCATTGTATCTTCATAATATTTTCCTAAATGTCTTCGCAAACATATTTTCAAAAATGACTTAGAATAGAAGGAGAGAACTCATCGAATTTGCAGATAACACTAAGCTGGCAGGAATAGCCAACATCCCAGAAGAGAAGTTCAGGATCCAAAAAGATCTTGGCAGACTTGAACAATGGGCCCTATCCAATAACATGAAATTTAATGGAGAAACACAAGGTTTTACACCTAGGCAGGAAAAACTAAAGATACAAGTACAGATTAGGTGAAACCTGGCTCAAAAACAATAACACTGAGAGGGACCTTGGAGTTCTAGTGGATGATCACTTCAACGTGAGCCAGCAGTGTGTGGCAGCAGCCAAAAAAAGCTAATGCAATCCTTGGTTGTATAAACGGGGGCATAGAATCAAAAGCACATGAAGTATTAGTACCGCTTTATAAATCCTTAGTAAGACCACATCTGGAATACTGCATCCATTTTTGGTCACATTACAAAAAAGATGTTGAGACTTTGGAAAAAGGGCAAAGAAGAGCAACTAAGATGATTAAGGGCCTGGAGACAAAAACATATGAAGAACGGTTGCGGGAATTGGGTATGGCTAATCTAGAGAAAAGAAGGACCAGGGTGACATGATAGCAGTATTCCAGTATCTCAGGGGCTGCCACAAAGAAGAGGGGGGTCAACTTTTTTTCCAAAGCACCAGAAAGGAAGAGAAGAAACGATGGAAAGAAGCAACCTGGAATTAAGAAGAAACTTCCTAACAGTGAGAAGTTGTAGGTGCTTCATCACTGGAGATTTTTAAAAAAAAGACTGGACAGCCACCTATCTATAATGGTATAAGTCAGTGGTGGCGAACCTATGGCACGCGTGCCAGA